GGTGATGGTGTCTGGTCAGGAGAAGGAGAGCAGCTGCGACACGAAAATGTGATCCGTTCCCGTGCCAAATCCTCTATATTGCGCTATACAATGTTGCGCGCTTGCTTCCAAATCCACAACGTGGCGGACATATTGTTGATTCATTGTCAGCAGGTGCACAATTGCTCTACTATTGCGCGCTGGAAGGAAATGCAAGAAGTAGACCAATGACGGGAAGAGGAATCGCGTGGAATACTCTTCACATTCGATCATCCGAAATCTCGCAATTAGCTTACTTGTAAGCGAACAGTAGTGCATCATTCCAACATCCCAAAGCTCAGCTTGGCTACGAAGACGAAGACTTCCACCGAGCCTAAGTCGGAGGCACTTCTTGATCCAGCAACGGCTTCTTTTAGCCAAGTGGTCGGCTGCGACACTGAATCATGGGATCAGGCCGTGACCGACTTGAGCTCCTTCCCGAGCACAACTGCGGCGGAAGAGACATCGTCGCCGAAGCATTCGCGCGGCACAAACGGCGTTCCAGGGCGTGGATATGGTTGGGTCGGTATATGGGCGGAAGGGAGGAGCAGGCTTTAGCAGATTGTGTGGTGAGATTGATCTTCCGTCAGCCCAAGCCAATTTAACAATGTTGTTTTGGGGGCAGCGCGGTCTTGACTGGCAAAATCGATAGTGATAGAAGTCAAAAGGGACCTCGTCAAAATACACCCTGCCACGGAGGACTTTCAACGTTTTTCTTCATGTGAAACGAAAATGGAAAAACGCAATGAAGATGGTAACGACGTAGAAGACGGTAGCAGCGAACGAACGCTGGTAGCGTTGACTCCGGGCGATATGATTTTAAGTCTGCGTAGTAGGTTCAGCCGCTCTTTTGAGCTCTTCTCTTCTCAGGTTCCATGGAGTGGTAGCGGAGTTTCATAAGTGAGACCTGGCTTGGTCTGCAATCCTCTTCGGCTTCAGTAGAATGTTGTCGGCATTCCGCAGAAGTGCTGCCCAACCGTCCTCGAGAGTCACGGCACGATTGACCGTCCGGACTTGTTGCCACTCTTCCGCGCCAAGACATGAGCGCATCACCATAGACGTTCTCACACAGGACTCGAGAAAGGCGCGTCATCGAGCTTTGGTTTCTTTCGACCCGAGACAGAGGGCAAGCCACGTATTCCCTGCGAGCGTCCTGATCCGTTCAGCGAGTCTAATGACAACGAGACGAATGTTCCATGCCGTTAGCGCGGACCATTCTGTCATAGTTGAGCCCACGGAATGTAAGGCCGCCATCGCAGCTCAGAGAGTATTCGACAGTCTGAAGGCAAGGTTGATAGCAGGAAGTCACGAAACCCTGGTTGACTTTCTGATGGTCCTTGGAGCCGGCCGCCATGATGAGAAGGTGTTCAAGTGGGCAAACAGCTTCCAAAGGTGCGATGGAGTTGGTAGTACTGTGACCGTGAGCGTCAGCAACCGCTATACAGAGGCAAAAACGACGCTCGCACGGGGCGTCAGTGGTAAGTCCTGTCTCTTCATTCCCACCACAGGCGGCAGCGCTAACAGACACGGTAGGCGCCCTGAGCTGTCTTCAGCGCCTGGCGTCCGCGTCATGGGACTAGTTGGCACATCGTACTGCAATATGCCGATGAAGCAAGCACCGTTCGTCAAGCATCTTTAGTCCAAATGCGACCTGCGCGATGAAAGGTTCCAGTGTTAGCTACCTTACGCCAGAGATCGACCGCACCGGAAACGTTCTGGGCCAGGGTATCAATACTCTTGTTGGCCGAGGGCGGCGTGTCGACTGTGTTACATTGGAGCTCAGTTTTAACCTGCGGCTACCCTGTCGTGCATGTAACGGGCTGGGCCACAAGGTCGAGTATGCGCGGAAAAGGTGATGCTTGCAAGCACCATTGGTCGAGCATTGACAGAAACCGAAGGGTATGCGATTGTTCTCACTGGCATCGTGTATTCTGGGCAAACCCTCGCACGGGCCCCCTTTCTCGCGTGCTCCTGCATTCCTCAATCCTCGCTGGTGGTTCAGCCGCAGGGCATCTTAAGACTTGTTGGGAAAGTTGCCTTGATAAGAAGTGTTCGTCAACATCGCGTCTGATGGGTGACCAAATATTATGTCTCGTCGACCAGTGCGGGTGCCTCCCTGGTCGTATCTCACAACCATAGTGTCATTGAGTCGGATCCAGAGGAGCGTTTCCAGCGGCAACAAGCAACAGGCACATTATTGACCCTGTCAAATCAATTTTATTAATGGACCAAGTTAGTTCTCGTTCTCCGGAACTAGGAGTGAGCCCCCGCCATGGGTGGTACTTGTACCACATGGTCAGTGCTGGCGAGAGCCGGCGATACAAACTGTACAGTACTGTTGACATTTCTCGCGAGAAAACTTGCCCACACTTGAATACGCGGCTGCTTTGCATGAGTAATAATGCCTGGCGTTATATTTAAACGATCTAGATCCCGGTGATGATCGTAGCTAGCTATCACCTGCCGCGTAAGAGCAAAGAGACTTCCGGGACTCTAACAGGTGGCTTGGTAGTGTCGCTCACGATTGTCTGCTCATCCTGGCAGGTGGTTTTATCCTTTAAGTATCCTGTTTTGAGTTCCCAGTAAGCTGCTGGGTGCTCTTATCCTGCCATTTACCGTCTGCCTTTCAGATGGGCGAGTCTGCGCCACCACTGACCCTCGCCACAGGTTTTGGGTCACGTCTTGGAAGCCGAGCTAGACTCCACAAAGAAGTTGCAGACGCAAGTACCGTAAGCAAAGATACCATTGCGTAACATCATCACCTGCCTCATGCCTTGTACGTGCACTTCGATGAACCTCAAACACTCCCCTTCCGTTTCGCCTCTAGACATTACATGGTTTCGGAGAACCCATCTCCGGAAGGCGATGATGGTTTCACTCAATCTGAGGAACCATGAAGTCATCTGTCGGTGTCCAATGCCATCGCCATTGATCTCAACTCCAGGATACAAATATGGGTAGTTCGGCCCATCGTCAGTCAGGCTTCATTTCAATCGGCACTACTCAACATTTTTCCAATTCTTCATTTTCAAGCCACCGGCCTCCATCGTGATCTGTATTCTTCATCTTGACAATTCATTATCTGGTCGAACAAATCATCACAATGAAGCTGTCCGTCTTTCTCGCCATCTTGCCTGCTGTCCTGGCCATGACTGCGAAACGCGAAGAACCTGCTCCTCTTCCAATTCCTCGCGGAGCCAACAATCTCATCGATGGTAAGTATATCGTCAAGTTCAAAGACGGTGTGTCTGTAGCCTCCATGGATGAGACCGTCAGTACCCTTGCGCAAAAGGCGCATCAGGTGTACAATCACGCTTTCCGCGGCTTCGCTGGCAATTTGAATGCCGAAGACCTTCGCGAAACCTGGCATCTCGGAATGTGACGGTCATACCAAGCAACCGATCAGTGGTGGCAGCCATCAGGCGGCCTGGACGTCAATCTGGGCAATGCACCGTTCGTCGAATATACGACCGCGTAAAGCACCTCCGGATCAGCGGCTATTCTGTCGGTCTCATGTGGGAGCCGGCGAACGAAGACAGACAGTCGTTGAGAGCACTAGCGAAAGCTGCGGCACAGCAAGCTACCGAACACGGCGGTGCGGGAATAGCGACATACCAAGCAAGGTCTACAAGGCTGCGGCTGGCACTCACACGGGGGCGACCGTGCGATCGACTGCCGGATGGTGTCGGAAGGTACTCAAAACACCTCGACAAGGCGCTGCAGGGCACGCACACCCGTTTGCTATATGATTCATTGAAAAGAAGTGAATCAAATGTGCTCGCTCAGCTCCGGACGGGGATGATGCGATTAAACAGCTATCTCAGCAAGATAGGTGCAGTGGAGTCGAGTTTGTGCGAGTGTGGGCAAGCAACAGAGTCGGCGGAGCACTTTTTATTTCGGTGCAAAAGATGGACGGAACAACGACGGATCCTTTTTGCGTGCTCGAGAACAAAAATTGGCAATCTTTCTTTCTATTTGGGCGGCAAGACTGCGTCGGACGACGACAGGTGGCAACCAGACATGCGAGCCGTACATGCGACCATCAAGTTTGCAATTGCGACGAAAAGGCTGGCATCAACCAGCACCACTCCGGTCACTAACCCATAATATGCTAGTATACTAACAAAACAACCTCGAAACCTGGCCTTCAAGCAGGCCTGTCATGGGATCGAAAGAGAGGTTGGCCTACAAGCGGCGCGAGGATTCATCTGTAGGGCTTGTTGTGTCACGAATGAAACGACCCAGATTGTCAATTAGGAAGCGTTTAGGCCCTATAGGGAGCTCCCTCCGGGCGAAATAAATCCATCAATCAATCCGCCAGCGCGTCCTCATTTCAAAACAAACACCATCTAGCATCTCATCGGCTCAAGGCGCTCTTTCGTCGGAGCCTCGCACCCGTCCGCGGGATGTAGAGTCGCATGCGACGTTGCGTCGCGGTCAATGCTCATCTTTCTCATGAGCCTGGGAAGGCTTTTCCTCACCGGCTGCGTGCGCAGCCAGAGCGGAGGGCCTCGGCCGTGTGAAGGGCGGTGCGACGCACTTTACTCGGCCGTGACCAGAAATTGGAGAAACACGAAACACAAAACAAAGAGGAAGAAAGGGAGTGTTGTTCGCCTAATGGCGTGGACAGATCCTTTGAAAGAAGGAGCTTTCCGACGTCATCTCGACGAAGGCTTTGAAGCCCTTGCCTACTGCATGGTGTATCGCTTCGGCCGGTGAGGGTGCCAGCCTCATCCGGAGCCGTGGCGGTACCTTCCTGCAGTAGAATGGGTGCTCTGGTGCTTTGCGTCGTCCGCATGAGCAGTCAAGACGTGCGTCGTCATGATTGAATCGCTCGTGGTAGTCGGCGAAGTCTCCGTGGCGAGATCTCGCCGCAAGGAGGCTGTGGAGCGTTGCCCTTGGGAGCGCCAGCTCTGGAGGGCAGCTTGTGGTCGCCTCGAGGTTCAGAGTCTTGTATGGCCCTGGCGCTTCAGTGGACCACCAAGCCTTGAAGGCGTCTCTCGATTGCTGCCTCGCAAGTCGGCGCAGGTGGGCCAGCGATGGCATGGCTTCTGGTGGTTCAGGCTGCAAACAGCCCGCTTTGGCGAGGCCGTCAGCCTCCTCATTGCCCGGTATGTTGGTGTGTCCTGGTATCCAGTGGACCTGCACATTTCCGTGCGAGGTCGCCAGTTCTTGGAACTTTGTGAACTTGTCCTGCGACGAGTCGGCGGGGTTGCCTCGCAGACAGCTGGCTACAGCGAGATTGTCGGTGCAGACCACGACTGCGCTTCTTGTGTCACCCAGGCGGAGAGCGGCCCGAAGGCCCTCTATGGCGCCGGTTGCCTCCGCGTCGAAGACTTCGGATGGACCCAAACGGCCCGATCCTTGGACTAGCGATTGCTTGTCCCGGTGTACTGCGAAGCCGAATCCCACGGCGCCGTTTGGAAGTTGCGACCCGTCGGAGTAGACGATGAGCGTGGCTGCGGCGGCGGTTCCAAGCCATTCGAGGAAGTCACCAGCGGTTTCGGCTTTGTTCGCAGTCTGAAGAGGGCTGGCTTCTATGTCGGAGTAGTGGCGCGGCAGGAGGCAGCGATCATGGTACATACACGGTAGACGCCGGGCGGAAGCCCACCCTGTACCACGGCTTGGAGCAGGCCTCGCCCGTTCCCAGCATCGTCTATGCCCTTGAAGAAGGCGAACTTAGTGGGGTCCGGCGGTGTAGTAGCCTGCAACGACCCGATGTCCTGGATTGTGACGTGACAGTGACCGATGATGTCGCCGTTGCTGTCCAGGTCCTGTGGCGCTGTGTAGTAGCTGGTGGTCGGGTTGACGAAGTTGCCAGCGGCCAGATGCGTCGTCTGCACGGACACGTTGAAACTGGTGTCAGACGTGAGGGTATCGCCCGGCTGCGGTTGTGTGATTATGGACGAGATCATGTTGGAGGTTGCAGGGATGCGACCCATGGGTACGCCGTTGCAGGAGCCGGAAACAAGTTGCTCGCCGTTAGTGAGTTCTTGACCCTTTACAAAAGGTAATGAAGTTGTTGGCGTCACTAAAGCGAGCTGGTCAGAGTTATGTCCTGAAGAGGGAGGAAGTATGGCTGTATTACATCTCGGACTTGGCCCGCCCCGGCTTAATGCCCTGAGTCCCTGGCTCTTGGCCGGTGAGGTTGCTGGCGCTTTGTATTACATCTCCTGTCAGGCAACCTTGCCCGCCATTGCCACGGTTGTTACCATCGTTGTTGGCATTGTTACTATTAACATTGTTGTTGTTGTTGTTGTTGTTGTTGTTGTTGTTGTTTGATCTGTCACTCGAAGCGAGCTGACCGCCAGCAGGAGACCTGGCTAAGGTTGAACTATCGCCCAGTCCAGCTGAGACGAGAAGCGCAAAAACGAGAATGGCAAACATTGTACCTGCGTGTGTGAAGAAGGAGAAATGCCAAATATTACGGTATGGGCAAGCTGGATCTAACTGATCAACTGAGATGCGAATGAAGAATATGACTTGCAGACTGCATAAAGAAGAAGCAGGAAAGGGTTCCGTCTTATACAACTTGGTGCAGCAGGATTCATTCCCTCACCATACTCCAATGTCGCAATCAGACAGGGAAGTTTGCCGGAGCGAATGCTACGAGGGGCAAGTACTGCAATGCCGCAGCTCCTCGCTTCAGCCCAAGAGTCATCAGAATTGCTGTTTCGAGCTAGTCGCCGTTGTTGTCGCAAGATCAGACCGACCAAGGGACGAACTCCAGGGCTAGAGGGGGATTCTATGCAGCTGTCAGAATGACTCAATTTGAAAATGCTGATATTGTCATCATGCACCAGGTCTCAAGATTGGGGCTTTAGGATTTGCTGGTCGCCGAAGCGACGAGGACCTCTTCATCAGAAACTGCCCCCTAGCGAGAGCGCCAAGAAACTCATATGAAACAAGTCGACAAGGATCTACAGTGTGTATCGGTCCACCTTGCTGATCATTTCCCCGTGCATTTATTGCCCTCAGTGACAAAATTTGCGTTGCATCCTCAACTACTCGAAAATTTAAACCGTGTTCTTCCCCGTCGTATTCAACCGAGCCCGATGCCATGCCCGGATCATTTCGAACCTGAGCCGCGTGTGTCACTGGCCGCTGCAGCACGGCGAAAGCAGCAACACATGGTAATGAGCGCCCAAACAGCCGAAACGCGATCGATTCTGACAAGGGTCACGAACGAGTGCTGCCGCCTCTGCCTGCATTCTCCAATAACGGCGCTTCAATGTTGTCCATTCTTCTGTAACCGCTAGAGCATGTATCCGCATCCAGCCATTTGTTTGAAGTCGCGGCGCTTCGCTCCTCCCACGACGCTTCTGGCTGTTCGCCATGGCGTGTCCCACGCCAGAATCGGCTGTCTGCTGTTGCACAACAGGAGTCAAGGCGATAATGGCCCTATCAATGCATGAATGCCGCGGGCACGCCCCAATACTATGCCGAGCCCATGTCGATTGAAGCTACCGTAGCATCAGGAACTTCTCTCTGTCTGTGCGGCTCCTGACCAGGTTGCCCGCGTTTCCACCCGCAGCTGCCTGCCGCCCGGACTCAACGCCATTCGCCATAATCGCCGGCGTGTTACTTCCACAAGCGCGAGCCCGGGAGGCCTATTGGATGGGACCCCGGGAAGGGGACTCCGCAGTTTGGCATTGCGCCGCAATGCCCGCGACTGCTACGGCTAGTAGTAGTAGGTTCAGCCAATGGTTCAGTGGGAGTAGTTGAGAGTTCTTTGAGTCTATAATATCGAAATTGACACGTTTCCCAACTGCCCTTTCATATCGTACACCTGCTGCCTCTCGTTCGTCCTCTAACCCTTAACAAACGTGAAGGTGGCACTCTTATCGCACTTCTCGTTATCATCAAGCTCGAAAGAGGCGCCGCAGTAGCCAGACTGGGAAACAGCAATCCCGATAAACTTGTCCTTGACGTTGCTCTTGCCCGAGGCGAGCACTTTGTAGTCCCCGTCCCGCTGCACCTCGCAGATCTTGGGGTTACCGCCAAAATCCGCCAGGCAGTGGAACCAGCGTGGCTTGTTCCAGCAGGAGCTAGAGATTTGGAAGGTGCGGCCATTTTCGACATTGTAGCACGGCGAGTGGTCACCAGGGTCGCCCGCGCTGTAGAGCTCGATGCCCTTGTCGTCGGTGATGGCGAACCCGCTCGAGTGGCCGATCTCGTTGCCGGAGGCGGTCCCAGCAATGGTCTCGAAGTGGCCCGAGGACCAGACCACCTGCAAAGTCTGTCCGGCCGAGGCGCCAGACGAGAGGAGAGGGATGGCGACGAGGCCGATGAGCGTGTTGCGGAGGGAAGGCATTGTGATGTATAATGCGAGTGTAAGGGTGTTGTTGGCTTTGTTGAGAGATGGTGCGCTTGGCTGTGGAATGCTTTTGTGTGTGTGTGTGTGTCTGAGACGAGAGTTCGATTCGGATGAAGCGGCGTCGAACGACGGTATTAATACTCGTTTCGAAGTGCGCGAACGCCCACCGTCGACGCGATCGTTGTCTTGCAAACCACATGGTTGTGAACGTCTTCCACGGTCCCGTTGGATGTCCAGCGCTAATCAACCGGTGGCATTACCATCGGCTGCGAGCAATTGCAGTTCTCTGCTCATTTGGGCCAAGTCTCGGTATCCCAACTTGATGGTGTAGCAGGCAGAAGTCAAACTGAGTCGTCGTCGGAATCCTTCTACTAGAAATTGCGGGTATGTAAGCCCTATGCCACGGCTATGCAGTAGCTCGTTTTTCAATTGCCATGTTACTAACCAGGAGCAAATGGGGCATGGTGGTTGTCGCGGTGGGTCTGAGTCGGAAGGTATGACGCAATGCATCGTGTGTATGTGTACATGTAGGAATGTGGCGCGTGAGCCACGGAGGCGAAACTAGTTCCCGCGATACCACCTTGAGTTGCTTCTTAAGAAAAGAAAAGATTTTTAGCTACGCAGCGCAATTCACGTCCTGCGGGTAGTCGCTTGGTCTGAGGGCCAGTTTCGTTTCAATAAGCATTGACAATGGTATTGCGAAAGGCCCCTGCTCTAAGAACGCACAGACGGCACTAATGTTTGGATCATAAAGGGATGCGCCTCCGCTACGGGATCGGCAACGGGGAGGCTTGAAAGGAAGAGAAACCCGCGCTGTCCCGTGGGCCTTTACGCGCTCGTACGGCACAGCGGATCTACAACTACTGGGGTTGCCAGGCAGCCACGGCGGTCAATTGGAGCTTTCGCAATGAGATATAGCCAAGGAATGTTGGATTTTACTGATGGGCGTTCCCCACAAAAAGAGTCATTGAATTGCTGCACCCTAATTAAATAAATCACGCAATGGGGCAGCATATGGCATTTCGAAATATGAGTATAGTTAGGACCAAGGCATTCTATCGTAGGAAAAGAGAAACATTGTGTCTTTGGCGCTCGAATGCTACTCCACGATTAGAGAGCATGTCCTCTGTGAACAGAGATGCTACTGATTTGGAGGAGGCAGGTTAGGGTCCCAGAACGAAGATTTGAGTACCTTCATAGGGTTAGTCTCCCG